CTGTTATATTAACTAATGGATCTTCACCTTTTTCAAAAGCTTCTTTAAATTGATTTATATCAATTTGTGCACCGGGTACACGGAAAATACCCTTGAATACAAAAGAAAGTCATCATAGAATAAAACTAATATCAATTTTAATGAAAATACATACTTGATTATGTAAACCAAGTCGATTAATAGCACTAACACATGATGAAATAATTAATGGAATATGTTGTTGTGTTACTTGTATATAATCTAATAATTTTCCACCAAATAAACGTGGACGACCAAGAATTGGAGCACGACCAATTTGTTTAGGTTTTATCGGACGACGTATAAGACTACATTTCAAAATTATTCAGATTAAATAAAAAAAAAAACATAAACTCGTGCATCTATCTGAATCATTAAAAATGAGTCAGTTCTGTCTCACAATAAAACATTCTTGTATGATTCTTAATGAAGCAGCTAAGGCTTACGAAATTTAGGTTTTTAACATTGCAAGACTTATATCGCCACATTCTATAAGTAGGGACAATAGCAGGAGATAGGAAGGAGAAACCTGTGGACTGACTGTCTTTGGTGACAGTTGATTCCACACAGAGCTAGAAAAATCAGGCTATTGGATCCGCTTACAAGATTTCCGCTTCTCATTTCATACTATTTTCTTGATATTTCCGACCGGAAATCCGTAGATCCGAGCATCGGAAACATTGACTCCGGTTTAGAATATTGAATCATTTCTTAAAAAGCATAACTGCATAGAATAAAACACTTAAAACATAGTTCTTTAGGGAATTTCATCCTTTTTTTCGAAAATCGAAGTTGAGACCAAGACAGTCAAACACAATCAGGTATTCATCATTAGTGCCTGACTTTGCATTGAGTAGTATATTTTTTCCATAGGATTTAACGAAAAAACGAAAGTTGAAGTTTTCATAAACAAAATATTCATTATTATTCGAAACTCAATGTTCATTCCACTGAAAAAGCTTAACACAGCATTTCTAGAAAACTGATATAAGTCTATTGCTGCTCATATAACTGAAGAATTTTTTAATATTAATTCATGTTTATTCATCTATTTTTGAGTTAGTCATTCTAAGATACAGATTTTATATGTCTGGAACATTAAAGACTACTCGGGAAAAGAAATACTCTCCTTTTACTTGATCATTCAATAGCAAAATGTCCTGTTCTTATATAAACCTACTTATTTCATAATAACTATATAAATTCTGTAAAATATTTCATACTTTTTATCTTCGGCAGCACCAGTTGGCGGTGTAGCACCTAATGCTTTTTGCATAATATCGTGACGTGCTTGTAAACGTGAGATTAAATTACTACTTAATGTATATTGTTTGAATTTCTATTGAATATAAAAACAAACATATATATATATGTTTAGAAAGGAAATATTCTTTATTTATACCTCAACATAATAATCTTCAATTTCTTTTCGTGTATCTTTTGAAGTATTTTGTGGTAAATTAAGATCTTTAAATAGATCAGAAACATCAGAATTATTTGTATTGATATATTCCATGAGTGATTGTTCAGTAGCTTCAATTGTTTTAAAAATCTACGACAAAAAAAAACAACATATTAATCATGTTCGAAAAAAACCAACATACTCTACCATCGACTACTGTTTAAACCTCTGAGAACCGTTATTTCAAGCAGAATCGATCTATTAATATATGTTTTCAGGTTACAAAATGTCTCATTTTTCGCATATTGTAATTGTCATAGTGAAAATCAGTGAAGCATATGTATTAGAGTTGAAATCGGTAGAAATTTTGTCAACCGAACCGAACTAATCAGTGAAAAAAAATCTCCTATACCAGTAAACATAGGATTAAGTTTGATTTATTCTTATTTGAAATAATTACTTCACAAAACTGGAAGACTTTTTGATATGTCAAATAATACTACTGTCAATACGAAGATGAAATGGCCTATGAAAAATATGATTTTATGCTAGAGTGGATGTGTTTAGGTTACTTAATGTGTACGATTAGGTCTCGACGAAACGAAGAGAAGCTTGCAAGGAGTCATTAGATACTAATAAAGAGTTACAGCCATTTAAATAAAGTTTTTACTAAGAGCAAAGCATTTCCGAAAAATCCAAAACAATGAATTTCAACGTAAAATTTTGCCTATAGATACGTTTGATATTACATCAAATCATTCTAAAATGAATGACTATTTATATCTTTTTCCTACATATTATTACTTTGTATAACAATCAGCACCAGTAGTTTATCTACATATGTCCTAGCCTAAAGCAAAATCTGTTTTTCAAACAATATGTTTATATATATATATATATTGACATCAATTATCTACTAATTTGTTGATATTTGTCTTTCAAAGAAAAGTCCCAAAATACTTATTATTGTAAAAAACAAACCTCATCATTTTCAGTTTTTAATGCAGCAAGTCGATTTTGTATTTGTATAAAACGTGATTGCATTTCATCACGTATTAATACTTGAGCATTAACAGTTGATACTTCATCACCTTTATGTGGTTCAAATTTAATTTTTTTTGGTATTGTAAATACTGATAAATAATATTCTAAATATTTTTGTTTATCAACAACTGTATCTAAATCTGCAATAGCTCGATTTAATGTTTCAATTGTTCTGAAAAACAAAACGAAAAAAAAAAGAAAAAAATTTAATTGAAAAAGAAAAAAAAAAGAACACCTACATTTGTCGACCACGTTTTATATTTTCTTGTGCTGATAAATACATTTGAATACATTTTGCTATTGATGTATGAAAACCAAAATTCATACAATCAATTAAATCAGGTACATCATCAGAACAATATTTTTGTAGGGCAGCATTTACAGATTCAATTGTCATTAAATAATCATTACGTGCTTTAAATGCTTTTACTTTTGTTTCAGTATATTTCATTTGTCTCTATAACATGAAGTCATAGCTTTTTATTCTGACAAAAATTTCTATAGATATTTTCAAATCCAAACCCGATGGGCTCTACCTAATCTCTACTAGTTTTCTTTTTTATATGTAACTAAACACTCCTCTATATTTACAGCAAGTTCCAGCTCATTAAAAGCAGTATGCATTAGTTTAGACCATCAGTTCTACGGACATTTTTTTTTAGGAACTATGTTTATAAATTGGAGTCGAACTATTGGTTTCAATGTCGAATATTTCTTGAAACCGCCGGCTTCTATTGATCTTTTCAAATCATCGCTCTTATCATTTTCATTCATTATTGAAATAAATCTAAAAATTTGTATATACTTTTTCAACACGTTTTTCCATAGCTTTTTGTTTTTTTGCACTTTTAATTTTAGCCATTTGTTGAAGAATATTGCTTAGTTTTTGTTCAGCTTGTTTACTTTCACTTTGATATTGATGATAAGTTTTCATTGTCTAAAATAAACATTTTATAGATAAAATAATCAACAAAAAAATATCTTACTTACACTTTTTAATTCATTAAGAACTTTATATATTTCTTCATGACTTGCTAAACCAACTGATTTACACTATAGAAGACAGAGAAAAAAAAACATTAAAAGGATATTTTTTTTGTTGTTTTAATTTACTTTCATAAACATTCGTCGTGTATCTTCAGCTATTTCATTAAATTTATCATACATATATTTTCCACAAACATCAGACATAATTGTATGATATTTAACATGAGTACGAGTATCTTGAACAATCGTATCCCAAAGTTTATATATAGATTGAAAGAACCAAGTTTCTCTTCTATTAAAAAAAAGAGAAATTCAGAAAAAAAAAAAAAAAAAAAAAAATTTTACCTTGCTTTTTGTGCTCGATGTTTTTGACCAATTTGTTTATGTAAATTATCTAAATTTTTTGCATAATCAAATTCAACATCAGCACGACGACGAAAATATTCTTGAATTTCATTTACAATTGCTAATTGTGTTTCAATACGTTGTTCCAAACATTTTAATTGTTCATTTAATTGAAAATGAATGTCTAATTACATAGAAAAATAAATATATATTTACGTAGATTTCAACAACAAAAACAAGATTTCCTACAAAATCTATAACGATCATAATTTTTTTTCAATACACTTAATTGTGAATTTGTTGAACGAGAAAAATTTTTTGTTGTTGATGCTACACCACATGTATAAGTCATCATTGTTTAAAAGAACAATATTGTACTTAAATGTATCACTCAATGAAGTATATATCGATTGTCGTCTATTAAAATGATCGCAAACATTTCGTTCATTGCTTTCTATCGCACATATATATATGAAAGAAGAATAATGTTAAATTGCAATAAAGCAAACAAGTTCAATATTATTGGGCGGTGAACTCTCTCGTTCTCTATTTCAACTTTGTTTATGAATTATTCATTGAAAATACTTTTTCAAATTTTTGAATCAAAGGAAAACATATATCAAGGCATGTGTATTGGTACTATTTTAAATTATATCTGATGCAATGCAAAAGAAAAAAGAGAATAAATCATCATAATAGGAAAGGAAAGAAAGAAAGATGTACTGGAACTTCTCAAAGATAACATCCGTTAAAATATTAATGCATGATTAGACAAGCTCTTCATAAGATCTTTCGATTAATGGCTTCAGGCTTGTCATCTCATGTCATTAACTACTTTCTATTATAATCTCTCGAATTTATTTTTTTTTTGTCTTCTTTTGTTATTTTCTATACATAAATCGATCTCATATTTCTTGTTCTTTTCTTTTTTAATTCTTGACTTATTAACTTCAATTCATCATCATTAATATCGTCTATTCATTTCAATAGACGACAATACCAAAGTCTTATATCGCACGTACGATTGTTGATATACAATATCCTATACAAACGTAGATGCTTAATCAAAGGATGGAAAATTTATACATATGTGCATGTATGCTTTGTCTTTTCGAACTTAATATCTTTTTCTTTCTCATATATCTATTGCAAATACTACTAATATGTTAAAGAAAGAAAATAAAATATTTGAAAACTGCTTGGATTAGTTAAATATTAAAATTAAAAAAACAACAAAAGTACCTTTGACTATTTGATCAAATTCAAATAAAATTTGTTTATTTTTTTTATAATATTTTTCAATTGGTTTATCATCAAGAAATATTGTTGTTGATGATGTATTAGGCGTTAGTGATGATGTAGTTGATATTAATAATGATGGTGATGGTGCTGTAGGTTGTGATGAAACCGAAATAGATACAATCGGTTGATTCTTAAAAGTTGATTCGCTAGTCGACATTACATCTAGAAAAAAAAACAGAAACACAAATGACTGATAAAAGTCATTATGTCGCTCAATCTTTTCTTTTTTTTCCATTATGTCGTTTGATTATCAAGGCAAAGAAAAATAGACACGATAGAGTACTGTCAGATAAATATGAGACAGACAAGAATAGACAGATGATGATACCCTATGGAGATCGTTCTATAAGAAAGAAAAAGCAAAAAAAAAAAAGAAGAAAGAAAGGTGGTAATGAGTTCTTGTTTCTTATTATCTGAATCAACTAATAAATAATAACAAAGAATAAACAAAGAAAAAATCTCGATACAAGAAAAGAAAATTTTCTCTGATATCTTCATTATGTGTAAAACATTGCCTTCGACGACATTCCTAATAAGCAACCGATGGAAATCGAATAAACAACAACAAATAACTTAGCCGGAACAACAGTATAAATAATAGCATACATCATTTTTTTTTCTTCTTTTCCTTTGCCAATGCTATCCGTTCTCATCTTTTAATACAATTGGCATACGTTATTGGACCGTGCCTTGTCTATCTGCACCTACGTATATGCCAATGACAAAGACTAACATCAAGGACAAAATAATTATTGTGATGATGTCAATCGCTAACATGTATAAAAGACGTTCTTAGTTTTGTCTATCATTATTTAATTAAGAGTAAATGATGTTAATCAAATATATTAAGATCGATATATAATTATATAGCAAGAAAAAAAAAAAGAAAGGATAAAAGAACGAAGAATTTTTTTTTTTTTTTACCATTTACACAATGAGATACACATTGAGTAATACTCAATAGACAAAGAAAGACAAACAAAATATCATTGAGATTTTTTCATTCATTCAATAAATCAAATAATAATGTGACATTGATTCGTCAGAAAAATAGCCATCATCATTTCATATCGTTTCCAAAACGTATGTTTTTATTACTGACATCTATCGACAATGGGAAAAGCATTGTAATTTTGGTAGATAATCTAATTTTAATAATTTTATTAGGAAACAATATTATGTTGACGTCTTCATCGAACAGGGAAATTTGTTATGTTTTTTAATAGATGTTGTTAAATTAATCGCTATGTAAATGAGAAGAAATATTTTTTGCATTTAAAATGATCATAAAATATTATTCTTATCTAGTAAATAGCTATATATAATTCAACAAATATGACGTTCTAACAAGAATATATAAATGACGCGTGTAAAATATTTTTATGAAATTTCTTTTTTTTTGTGATAGACTTACTCAGTTAATATGTACAAGACTAAATTGAAACGTGACATCAAGCAAATTTTTCGAATTTTCAATTAAACTTTTATGATGAAGTGGATGAATCAATAGTTGAAATTGATCTAATTCTAAAGTTGAATTATTGAACACGAATTCGAAAAATTTATCTTGATTTTCTCTTTTCATCACTTTAGATTAGACCTACAAATTATCTATTGATCATTCTACATGTATTTTCTCATTTGACAAGTGATTACATTTCTTTAATGAAAATAGTAATGATACTTCAAAACGTTTAAAAATAAATTTGTATGGAGACCGCGAGAAGGTTCTAAAGTTGCCGGGTATATAATAAAGTATCTTACAGTTATAAGAAAAAAATTCAAAAAATCTTACCAGTTTTATTGAGTAATCACAAATTATTTTCGATTATTGAGGAGTATACGTTCCTGCCTTGCTCTTGTAGCTTATGAACCTGTTTGATTCAACTGAATTGGAGATATTTCAATATGTTACCGAATATTTATGGTCTGTCATGTAATTTTAATAAAAAGTAGAGAAAAACTGTGTTAATCAATTATTTACTTAATCTTTCATTCTTTTCTAATGAGTCATTTATATATTTTAAACCAAGTATGACTCGCATGACAAAAAGAAAAAAAAACAATTTCTCATTGAGGTTGTTGATTCATCACATGTGATTAAATATTTGTTGACATACGTAGGAATGATTGATCGGTCAATTTTATTTCCTAAATTTAGTTAAAATATGCGTATACATTAAAATACAAATTTTTTCTTTTTTTTGTATTCAATTTATGTTTTGCAAAGAAAAAAAAACCTACTTTTGAGGCAATGCATAATAGATAGAGAAATATTTAATTAATGATTATATATAGTTATAGAATTTCTTATCTATTGTATATTTTATAAAGATAAAGTAAAACTTATTGTTCTTATATTGGGTGATAGTTTTGTATTATTTATTTTGTATTTAAATAAAACAGAAGATGTAATACAACAATACTGCATAGAGTATATATTTCCAAGAATCTTACACCAACAATTACTGCTATCAAGTGTACTTTCTCAACTGCTTTCCTTGGAATTTCAATGATTTTTTTTTTATCTATAGATACTATATAGTGTTCTAATAAAATCTCTAAAAGATACAATGATTTGACTACGTCATCGGATTTTTTTCTAGACGTCTCAAGTTTGGTAACATAATGGATAATAATGCATAAGCACGACCTTTTCTAGCGTCAGTACATCTTGATGAGTGCATTGACCAAGGCTTATTACTATTTGATTATATAATTGTTATCTTTTGGATAAATGCGATCTTACTTAAATTGATTGAAAGACATGTATGACCTTTTCAATCTATCAAATGTAAACAATACAGTAGTAGCAATAAGTATGCGTATATGTATTATGTCGCTTATAATTTGATGTATTTTCTTGATGATGTAAAAGTCAAGAAGTGCAATTAGCCAAACGACTAGATGTATTTTGTTCACGACAGCTATCATAAAAAGTATATAGATTAAATATTCAATGAATCAATTATATCAGATTTATTTCCAAGTTTTGTTTAAACGATTCGTTTACTTCGATTACTATTTTTTTTTTATGTCATTGTCATAGATCTCTAAAATAAAATATTCAGTACAAACACACATTGTTCGATTCTCAAATTGATATCATACACTTCAAACTCATCGAGAATGATTTTTTTCTCTCATATCTGATGCAAAATATATGGGTGGTTTCCAACCGAAAAACTTGGAAAAACGATAACTATTTGGAGTCAAGAATCGGCTAATCAACTTTGTTCGATTACGACCAGAACTAAAAAAATCTGATCACCGGATTCATACTTTCAAGTTTTTCAGGCGTTAAAACCATAGACATGAATGATCTTGTCTTTTTTGAGAATTTCAATTTTCTGAACTTTTCACATCCAACTAATTTAGTTAGTCACATGTATTGATAGGACTATGATTACAAATTAAATTCAGTAGTATAATGAGATGCGAGACTGTTGTTCAATCAGGTGATGAAGCCTTCGATGAACTTTTTTGGTCACTAACACTTTTAAAATTTAGTTTAGAATATAATAATAAAACTTTTGAAAACTAAACCTTGAAAGTTAATTTTTGTCAAAACTTGCGATAGTTCATCAATAAGTCACAAATGAGGGGTAGTTAAGTGATGACATTAGCTTTCTCTAGAAATCAAATTTTGTACAGTTGAATTAAAAATCAATACTATCGCGTCATGCCCTGTTCATATGGAAAACTTTTTCAGTGTCTTCAGATCTTTAACTTTGACTATATATCAAACGAAAGCTCGTTGTTTTATGTGTACAGTTTTAGGGGATTCATGACGAAAATTCTTCTCTAGTATAATTTGCCAGCAGTGATCTACCCTGAATTATAAATTACTCGATAGCCTCTACAATGTTTAACAAAATAGTATTCTTGCACTGACCGTAATTTGTATGTAAGGCATTTGCTGGACTTGTGATACGTGTGCTTGCCAAAAATGTCTTTTTCGACTGATTTTTCCATCTATATCTGTCAGAAAGTCTTTTAATAACTTTTATTGTTGAATGAAAATTCAGCTCTGGTTTCTATCAAGATTATGTCATAAAATAAAGTCAATCAAAATGACGTTTTGACTGTCAAAAGTTACTTCCTAAACTTTAAAAAAGCTGGAAAAAATGAAAACGATGTATTGAATAGTTTTATTTTCTCATTTAAACTTGAAGAAGTTCGCAGCTGTATTTTTGAACGAAAATAAAAGTTATTGGAGGATTTTATGACAGAAATACAAATCGATTCAGATTTTTATACTGATTTCAAATCTGTCATTTTTTTTTTCGTAAGAAGTCTTAATTATAGTTGTAAAACTCGATTAAAAATCACTCGAAAAGAAGATTTTTGACACCTATGAATATGGTTTATTTCAATGAAGTATCATATGTACAAATTAGGATCAATAAATCAAGAATATCGTTTTGTCAAACATTGAAAGAACTATTAAATGATTTATAACTCAAAGTGAATCATTGCGTTTAAAGCATACTAGGTAAAAAATTTTGTCATAAGTGTCCTCAAATTATATATACAAGCTAACAATACTCTCTAAAAGAAAAATGCAAAGAACGATATTTTGTTCTACTCCGACATGCTATTTGATAGAGGAAAGAAAAAGCTTACATTTGATATATTAGTCAAATTAAACGCGTTGAAGAGCGTCGAGAAATTTTCCATATAAACACTGTGTAACATAACGCTATTGGAGATCGATTATTTTGAGTTTTACGTCAACTAGCTACAGTCGACAATGAGGTAAATCTATCTAATTTTAGCTGTAATAGACTTTTGTTAGCCGAATTGCCTATTAGTAAAATAGAAAAGTCTATTTTGAGAGGTGATAAATTTCATTGCTCAACGACTTCTATCTTCTTTAGCATAACTTGTGAAAGTTTCATAAAAAAAATCTTCAATTGTTTGCATAATATTGTTATTTGTCATAGTTATGTAGAAGAGAGAGACCTGATTATGGTCACAAATGATCGTAATTCGAAACTACTTCATAGACCTTTAATTTTAAGCCATATGATTAATTTGAAAAGATAGCAAATAGATTTCTTATGTACACATGTTGTTTGACAAGAAGAAAAAAAAAGGAATTAGTTTCATAAATATTCAAGAGAGAAAGAAGTATTTCCTTCTGGAGAAAAGAAA